GCTGAGGATCAGGCCAACAGAGAAGAGGGTTGGAGGCTCCCTCTTCAAGGGGGACTCAGCTTCACTCAGCTGGACTCCACATGGCCTTGTCCAGCCATTCCCTTACTCACAGCTGGAAATCGAAGCAGCTTTCTCTGCCTGCAGAATCTCCCCAGACACAGGCTCTGCAGAGAGACGCTCTCATATCCCCATCCAGAAGCCAGGAGCTTGTCTTCCCAGGCTCCCTGGTACCTGGGACTTGGCCAAGCACCTCAGCTTAGCCAACGAGACAGGCTGGTCTGACGAGACACCCAGAGACTCAAGCAAAGAATCCATCCGGCCACAGCTGTGGCTTCCGGATTCAGGGGCTGCAGGAGCAGCGCGGGCCGAGGTGCTCTGTTGAGGTGGTGGCACATCTGCCCTCTCTAGCTCTATGTGATCTTTCCCCCAGCTCTTAGCACTGTGACCCACCTAATACACAAGTTCAGCACCCACCTAATACATTGCTTTGATCAACAGTCCCAGTGTTTAAGTCCGCTGGCCAGTGCTCCTTATCTGACCCGGGTTATATCTTACTCGGACAGCTGCCCAGAAGTGTACGGGCACAGGAGAGGTGTGGACTCCCACTCTGGGCCTTTCAGAGCTGACTGGAGGTGGGGCAGCCAGCGCCATCAGTCTGACTGGACAGAGAAGGCACACGTGCCTGTGGCAGCATCAGTGAGATTCCACACTTAAATACTGACTTGTGTTCCTAGACAGGAAAGGTAAAACCGCTGGTTCTGGGATAGAAGCATAAATATGATTATGTAATAGAATCCTGGCAGTGGTGAAAATGTGAACTAAACCTACAATCTCCAACTCAACTGGGTATGTGTAAGTAATTATCAATTCATTGTATGTTATCAGTTAATTGTATGTTACACAAACTATGTAACTGATAGGAAATATGTAAGCATGCATATTTATACAAGCATGTAAATATTTGACAATATATCATTGTAGAATATTTTAAGACACAACTGAATTTTTAAAATTTTTAAAATTCTTCTGAACATACACATTATCTGTCACATACTCGACTTTCAGTAATATTGTCATATAAAAGGCCAGATGCCAGCCTTGTTATAGTAATACATTCTGTAGAAGAGACGAAAGAAAGTGATTAATTTTTGAAACAGCACTGATTCGCTAATATACCGGAAACAACAAACAGAATCAGACATCTTTCAGGCATAAGGAAAGTCCTGTCTGCGAGGCGACTCTAAGTGAGTGTCCCAAAAGTGATGATCGCACAGCTGAGAAGAAGCAAGGGCTGGCGCAGCTGCTGCGCCTCTCAGGTTACCCTGGGACGCAGACGAAATGTCACAATGACCGATAAAGAGAATGTGAGAAAACTTTATACTTACTTTCTTAAATCAAAGCAAGTTTTATGAATGAGACAATCATTAAAATATTAATTTTGAAAGATGAACAATATATTCCATTATGTATCATGATGTATTATGTTTTGTGTGTTGGTTGGTTTTGGTACTGGGAATCAAACTCAGGACCTTGCACTTGGCAGGAAGGTGCTTATCCCACTAAGCTATACCCCCAGCCCCTCTATCATGTATCATGAATAAACCATGCTACTTATCTGACAGCTCGGCTCGGTTCTGGCCTGTGGTGCCATTAGTGCACGAGGTTCCGTGCGTAACCCTCATGGGGAAAGGCAGGTAAGGCCAACAAAAGGACTAAGAAATGGTCATTTTTGGAATCCCAGGAACGAAACAGCGAGGCTCAAGTAATGAATCAAGATGTTCTGTGTGGTTGTTTTCTCATGTTAGCATTTTCCCAAATGAAGCTCTGATGTGTGTCATCTGAGTATCTCCAGAAATACAGCTGCCGTCCTCCTCCAGAGGCTACAGCAGCGTCTTCCCCCAGAGCTGTCCTGATAATGTGTCTGGCTCTGGGAGAAGCTAATGGCCTTCCTCATTAACGGAAATCGAAACATGCAGGGTTTTTGTCTACTTTTAATTGAGAAGCCAATTTAAGATCCCAGCATTTGAGAATCGCAGGGCCAGAAGAGTCTGCTATGCCCCCTTAGTCTTCCCATTTCACGTGGAGATCCTCTGTCCAGCTCAGGACCCATGGAGGACAAGAAGAGGCAGGAGAGAATTCAGCCTCCGGTTTGGAATCTGCTCAGTGTGTCTGCATGGCACCAAACGCACCCACTGAATTTCTTTAGCAGCAAATAAATGAAAATCCATCTCTACTGGCCTAATAAATATGGAATTCCCTGGATTAAAACACAGGTGACTCCAGATGTCCACCTGCTGTCCACCATGGCCACTATCACTGGAGCATCAAGTGACCGTGACCCGAAGAACTTGTGGGTTCACGACCTCAGAGTCCAGATCCACAGGGGAGAGGGGGGTCCCGATCTCACCATAGGGCTGTCACACATCCTGAGCTCTGTACTGTGGGCAGCGCCGCAGTCCTGGCACAGCAGAAGTCCACGGTGAGGTGCCCAGGCCTGGCCACAAGGTGACTCACAGTGTGATCACAGCAGAGCGATGTTCACAGAGGACAGGGTAGCCATGGCAGCCACCAGAAGAGAGGACCCGGGACAGGCATGCTCAGGACCGCTCCTGAGGGCTGGCCCCAGGCAGCAGGTGCCCCCGGCTATCGAAATCCAAGTTCCAAGCAGGGATGGCACAGGTGTCTGAGCCTGCAGGTGCCTGACCATGGAGAAGCACACCAAGGCCTGGGCTCACATTGCCATCCAGAAAGGTAAAGAATTCAAAAGACTGTCAATTACAGCGCAGATACTCAAAAACAGTTCACTATTCCATGTGCACTTTAGATCAATTTGAAAATTCCCAGTATAAGATGCATCGGTCGCATTACAAATCATAATTAAAAATTACAAATACTCTGATTATTTAAAACTCTGTCACTTCATTGTAAGATGGCAGCTCTCCTAGAAATATAAAGTTTACCTCTGCAATAGCTAATGGAGATATTTTATGGTAGCAGTCTTTAAAATCTTTCATAATATTGTAAATATCAAGAAAACCAAGTACACTTCATATGCTAAATGTTCATATAATCCATTGTTGGAATTCTGTTCAGATCCATTGAGTAATCTATGGAATTTGGTAAATATCCAAAGCAATATATACATCTTGGATAAAAACACTGGGGAAGAGATGTGATCCAGGCTTCCAGACCCACGAATCAAGCCCTGTCCTTCAGGGAGGGACGGGGAACACAGGGCTTGGGAGAGGTCATGTCTAATGTCTTACGAGATTTAGCTCAAGTGATTATCAAACTCTTTCACATTAACAACTAATTTCTGTGCTCCAACAAATGTCTTCATAATCCCATTTTATTAAAGAAAATCTGGTGTAAATGAAATTATCATATGGGAGAAGACCTGCAGAGGGTTATCTGCAAGGACACTTAAAACAATAAAATGGGTTCTAAACTAAAAACACGTATCTTTTAGGCTGTTTCTCATGTTTTCCCTGTAGCCCAAATCTCGTGTGTGTGTGTGTGTGTGTGTGTGTGTGTGTGTGTGTGTGTGTCTGTGTGTGTGTGTGGTGGGGAAGGTGACAGAGGGGACAGGCCAGGTACCCCGTGCCCATTCTAAATTGGGAACTCACTCAAGACAGGAATCACATTGAGGGCTGCGATGCAGCCCAGCTGGCAGTGAATAGCCCATCACAGTGTGCCCCAAAATCAAATTTAGTAAACCTGAAATTTCATCTTGGGCAACAGTGTCCGTGCCTTCAGAATTTTTCAAATATCTTTAACCTTATGACAGAACTTTAATTCCAACATCTGAGAGATTTATGTCTCCCGCACACTTCACAAAGCATTTCAGGGAGCCTGCTCCTCCAGCAATTGTATGTGGACGTCTTTAAAGCCTCCCTGAAGAGTGCCAGCCTACCGCTGCTGCAAGACTGAAGGTAGATAAAATCCATTTCAGAAAGTAAATGAAGAATGTGCCAATCCTTTCTAGTCTGTGTTCCAGAACTCCACCCGAACTTCCTCGAATTATCTGATGCTTTATGGCACAGTTTCAAGGGTACCTTCCTACAGCTGCCTTCTAAAAGCAGCAGAGGACAATTCAGTGATCGCCATGTCCACAACTGGGCAGGGTGAGTGGCCAAAGGTAACCCAGGCAGGATCCAGATGGCTTATGAATTGCCAGAAGTTTTAATTCATAAGAGAACAGATATTTATTCAAGTATTCTGATGCACAATAATAGCCCATGGAGGGGCATGGTTATCCCTTTAGGTCCTTTAACAAGGGCACAAATTCTACCTCCCAAAGACCCTACTCTTAATACCATCCCCTTGGGGGTGAGATTCCAAACAGGAATGTGGCAGAAATGGCAAACTTTAGGCCAAAACAATGGTATACAAGTTGCCTGGAGATTTTTCACAGCACACATCACACCCAAGGAGTTCCAACCCTTATTTTTAGTTAACCAACTCAAATATTTACACATGCAGTTGGGGTTTTTTGTTAATATCCCCCACCCCCCACCAAAACGACACCAGATTTTAGCTACCTGAGGCCTTGCCTACTCCTCAAAACCACACCCGATGGCCTCATTTCCCATTGGCTGGCCCTGGAGGAAACAACGGCCAGAGATCCAAGCCTGTGGCCACTCAGAGCCCCTCACCCAGGGACACGGGGGAGCGCCGTCCAGTGACAGCACCAGACCTTGACACCCCATCTCTGTCCTCCCAGGAGCCTTGGGTGACTGCATGGTCCTAGCCAGCGTACTTTTCCGAGATCTAAGGGTCATGGTATGCAGAAGTCATTCGAGAAACCCGCACCCCTAAATGAGCACCAACTCTTCAGCCCTTGCACAGGTTACAGAGTCAGCACAAGAAAGTGTGGGAAGCGGTCAGAGACAGGAGGGCTTCCGAGTCAGTACTGCCTGTGGTTTATGGAGTGCTGAGTCCGCAGTGTGAAGGGGCCGGAGAGTGAGCTGTAGAAATAAGAGCCTCCGGACAGTCACAGTCAGTGGTTCAGATAACACGGGAAGCTGCCGTGGCTTCCCGGCACACTGAGATCCATCGCTGAGGTTCTTCCAGCAGTGATGCCGTCCGGGGTCGGAGCCGGAGCCCACAGGCAGCCTGCCCACCATGCCGGTGTTGAGGGACCTTTGCTGCCTGGGAAGGAGCGGGTGAGCTCAGCTGCGAGCTGCATGGGGTGGATACAGCTGGCAGCAGGAATCCAGACAAGCACCAGGCTGAGAGGCTGCACACGGGCTCCCCGGGATCTGTCCTCCATCCTTTATTCATCCTTTGTCTCATTCTGCCATCCCCTTCTCTCTCCCCTCCTCCACCCTGTCTGCCTAGGTGGGCGCTCTCTGTCTGTCAAAGACCCCACAGATGTGAGCTGCCACCCCGAGCTCTACCACCCGGACTGCAATGCCAGGCGAGGGTGAAGATGAGCCTCCAAACAAGGCGCCAGAGTGACCTCACCGAGGTCTGTAACTCTCCGTCCAGCTCCTCTCGTGCCCCACTTTCTCGACTTTCTACTCTGAGTCACCGATGCCGTCACTAATGTCGCAGGGCTCTCGAGACAAAGCAGATTAGATCATGTCTGGATGCCTCATCTGGCCTGAGAAGCTAAACTTCTTATTGATAATAAAGGAAGAAAGGAGGGGAAAAAACCTCTGCATTGGCTTTCATTTCTTCTGGAAGCTACTCTGTTTTAAGCGTGTGTGAAGGTCTGTGCATCAAAAACGACACAGACATTTTTTTATTTTTCTAGAGGCTTCGGGACATGGAAATCAGGTAGGCTCTGGCTCCTGCACAAGTTAATGAACACTCACAGATTAGAAGAGAAACTAGAAGAAAAATGTCTTCTCTCCTTAATTATCAACTGATCTGATTTACAGTTCATTTGCTATTTATTATTACTGTCCCGTAAACCCTCTTTTTAATAACTTGTGTCTTTGACCTGGGGCCATGACAATTAGCCACAACGTAGTTTTTTCTTTTTAGTAGATTTCCAGAAAATAGCTTTGAGATCGATCGATCGCCCAGTCCCTGACACACAAATCAATTCGCAGGTGGCAAAGCAAGCCTGGACTTTCTGCTTCTCGCACTCTAGAGAGTTCCTTGTTCGTTTCCAAAACCGAATTTCTGAAAGCTCTCAATCCTATCTAGGCAGCAGGCACAGCCAGCCTGCAGGCCAGGGAGGCGCTGGAGAGAGAACCATGGCCCCGCCACCTTCCCTCCAGCCAGGGCTCTGAAGGCCTCAGGATCCAGTTGTCCTGCTCATGGGGAACATCTGCCCTGCACACTTCACTGCGCTGTCTCAGGTAAAGAAAATGCAGCAGAGGAAGCAGATGAATGACAAATTCAGAGCTCCTCAGAGGAGCACCAATATCCACTTTCAAAGGACAGCATGTGCTGCACCCTCCACTTCCAGATGTGGGCAGCAGAAGAGCCCTTAAGGACCCAAACATCCTCTAGTCTGCAAAGGATGCAGATGATTAAAATAAAGAGACAGCACAGGTGACCACCCACTGACAGCTGAAAGGGTAAAGCTCCAGCAGCCAGGGCCTTAGAGTAAGACCCCCTAGCTCCCTGCTTCGGCCTGGGTCTCGGGCTTGCACAGGAGGACACTTCCCAGCAGGGCCTGTAGGGTAGAGTCCTGCACCTTGGCTGCCTGCTCTCTGTGGTGTGAACAGCTCTGAGCGCCTGAGGCCCGGCTTCCCAAGGGGTACACGCTAGGGCAGCAAGAGCCATCAGGTCAGGACCCTGCAGTACTCTCCACAGTCCTTCAAGCAATAAAATTTGGTGGTATTATTCAATTTTTTTTGGCCATACTGGGGATTGAACCCCAGGTTTTCCCACTGAGCTACATCGCCAGCCTCTTGTTTATTTCTTTCCTTTGAGACAGGGTCTCAGTGAAGCTAGGATCGAACTCGCAAACCTCCTGCCTCAGCCTCCCAGAGTGCAGGGATTATAGAACTGTGCCGCCACGCCCGATTCATAGCCTATGAATGACTCAAAGGGAGTCAGGATGATGTAGGGAGTGTGTGGGCCTGTAGGAAGCATGGAAAAATACACACATGAAAAGCTGGCCTCACCCCCCACATACTACAACATTTGGCTTCTTTATTATCAGTGAACAACGTATTTCATTGAGTAATCCAGGCAGATTAAAAATGGTTCCTGCTTAAGTATTTGTATCCACAGACACTCACCTGTCTTTCACAGACCCCAGTTTAATATTCCACGTCTGCAAGGAATCTGCTGCTAATTGAGCTGGTTTTCCTCCAGTATTATTTTTAATTATTTAGAGTAGCAGGGAGCTCTTCCTAATTTCCCACCTGACTTCCAGGGCCCTAAAGAAGAGCTGCCGTGGCTCTCCGCTCTTATGAACGCACCGGGTATCAGAGAATCAGTCAGCTTAGGCATGAGTTCTCAGACGCTCTGCTGAGGTTATGAAAATGATCCCTTTTGGAGCAGTTCAGAGGGAACGTGCCACTGAGAGTGATGTCTAAGCCGCTGTGCAAGGTACTGTGACAGTGTGGACCTCAAAGGAGCCGCAGGAAGAGAGGCGCCCCGCTGCAATGAACACAGCCCATAGTTAAATAATAAATCACAACCCTGGAGCTGGGCTGCAAGAGTCACTGCCTATCCTACAGTCACCGCGACCACACAGAACAAATATTTAGCTGCACACAGTTGTGTATCTCGGTGGGGGCCAACTGGTGCAGTCTCCTGACTGCCCTTTCTACAGAAGATGAATGCTATTTGTTTACGATGAACTGAAAGTTGGAATGATATTATTTGAATTTATCAAAGCTACAATGGAACCAAGCACTAATCCCCACATTTAAATATATCCCCTGGCATGACTTGAGAACCAAGGGTCTAACATATACATAATTTAGCACAAACATCTTTGACACCTCACATATTTTCCTCTCCTTTTGCAAAAGAACAAAAGGCTTTCTGTAGGAGCCTGGAGTATTCTATTTGCTCTCAGACATGCCAATTCGGGATACAATGAACTCAATGAATTATTCATTTGGAACTTGGAGTTGTTTGTGGAGAGAAGTTTGCAGAGATTCAGAATAAAGAGGTGGGCAAAAGGGCAGGGGGCAGAAATGGGCACAAAAATAAAAACTGGCCAACCCCAGAGTAGGCACAGCCATGTAATTGATTTCTCATTTTGAATGAAAAGGAAGTCTTTCCGTTAACTAAGAAAGGAGACAGTGTTCTCACTGAGTTAAAGGACGGAGGGCAGAAGCACCACCATTCCAGGTAGCACACTGCAGGTGGGTCCTGAATCTCTGCCGACAAGTTCTTGCCCAGGTAGCTGAGTAAACAGCACCTGTTCCTGTGAAAACTGTCCCACTTTCCAGTTACAGCTCTTTTTTAAGGATGCGACCTAAGCGGGAGAGAGGTGTCCATGTAGAATTTTCCCTAGTCACTGGCAGAGCAGCCTTTATTCTGACACTGGGCACACAGACACAGGACACACCCTGGCCGCGACAGAGCCCCACTGCCACGTCTCGCCTCCTCTTCCCCTGAACACTTTTGTCCCCTCAGAGGAGAACTTATAACACAGTTGTGATTTCCAACACTGAAAGCAGAAGCTCCTCAGTGCAAAGGAAAGCAGAGACTAGGCTGCCACAGTCAGGGGAGAGGTCCTGGGGTCCACCCTGGAGGACGTGGTCAGGGAAGGTCCAGGACAGCCAGGCGTGTTCCACAGAACGGATCAAAGGGGCAGTTCGTTGGCACAAAGGAGGAGTGGAAAATTTGTTGCTATTTCATCTTCAGGTCATTGTAAAAGTCAATAATTCAAGCAGAACACAGCTGTCCCTTTCAGTCCTATTACAGGAGCTCAAAATAGACATACCCATGGGCAAAGAGAGGGTTAAAGATGAATTTGGGGGTGTGCGCTAGAGGTTACACAGCATCTTATAAGAGCAACACAAATGCAGCCCGCACACTTACTTCCAAGTAGTAACTGTACAAGTACTTCGTTTCATTTTTAATTAAACTGCAGTTTTCCCATATGAGACAGATGTTTCATTTAAATCTCAGTCAGTGCTACAAGTCCTGTAAGGAAAGAGGGTGCGGTTTTATAAATTCTCACCACACTCTATTCCATTCTAGGGCTTCCCCCCAACTCAGCCACCCTCTAAGGCTTTAGCTTTCTTTCATTGGGTGCCTCCGTCTTGCTATGGAACAACCTAAAGCTGGCATACTTGGGCTAAATTTAGGTAACAGCCATAAAATTCTTGCTGTAAGAAATATTTACTTTTCTCCTATCACGACCCTTTTGACATGCACACATGCGTATGCACACTCACACACACACACACACCCCGAAGCATTTCCTTCCTCCCTGAACTTCCTTCCCACTGTCAGCAGGCACCACTCTAAGGGAGCTCGGTCTTGGCACTGACATAATTACGGTAATGGGCATCTTCCTCAGAGCGCGGCAGGGCACTACACTATGACACTACTTTCTGTCTTTTATAACTTCCTGATTTCCCTGGAGTCACATGCAGGCTGCTAAAGGAAAAGTCAATCCCTCAAACAGGGTCTAGCACTCTGGGAAGCCCATGCCCCTGCTGGTGGACACTACGCCTGGCTGCTGGGATGTGGACAGGGGCCCGCCAGTTTCTGATCTCAATTTCTGGATCATTTTTTTTTTTAAACCTATATAGTGTGTTCAGTGTTTGTTTCAGCACTGTTTGGAGTAGTTCCCCCTGGGGCTTCCAAGACAAAGGACCTGGGGAAAACAATTTTTTCTTACTTGCTTGTCCAACCTGGTGGGGGAGTGCCTGCTTGTTGGGGACCACAAATTCACAGTGACTGTTTTTACATTTTCCCTATGGAACAGAAGGAAGAATTGGGGTTACTGGTACCATCCATCTGACATTTCCTATTGACTCTTCTTAGTATAAAATCATCTATACCTTTTGAGTCATCTCAGGATTATACTCAAAATCAAGATACTTCTAAATTAACATAATCCGATACTTGGAAAAGTCTTTGAACCACTCCCAAGATCCCGCTGAGTTTCCTGCTTTTTCCACTCTAATCTGTTCCTTGACTGATAAAGCACATGTGGGCTGCTCAGAGACATTTCTCCTCTTAGCCCCCAGAGTTGCAAACTCTGCAGAGGGTGTGATCTCCCTAGAACCCTAAAATCATATCACTTGTCTCATTTATTTTAAGCCTTCACCATACACCCGTTTGGGAGATTGGGGATTAGGCAAGGTCCCCAACACCTGCTTGACCCGATGAGAATTCTCCCTGGAAGCTGCGCCCCTCTGGATGAGGTACAGCTGCTGGCCTCAGCCCTGGGCTCTGCCTGCACAAGCTGCTGCCTTACAGACTGCCCTTACAGAGCTGGAACTGCACCTCTCTGGAGCTGGACTTGCATGTCATTTGTCTGGGCAAACTTCCAGCTCTTCTGGTTAATGGTTTTTCTGACCAGTGATGCCTTCCAACCTGGGTGTCAAGTCCTGGAGTTATGGGAAACTCCACCTAGCTGTGTGCAATTTAAACACCAAATGTCTATTTGAGTTCACGACTGTACTTTCATAATACATACATATTTATCATAAGAATCATACTATTTGCATACATATGCATGTGTTAAAAATAACTTACCAGCTCTTCATTTTCAATTGTT